CAGGACAACGGACAGATACACTGGCACGAGAGACACGAAGCGTCTTAGAGTAACTTTCAACAACTTAAGATGGATTTGAATCGCTAACAAAATCAACTAAAAGTAACTTAATGTACGGTATGTATATTCAAAGAATGAAAATAGTAAAAAGCCAGTTTGTGATTTTAGGTAAAAACTTGCACTGCCTTCTCTTTACAAGCAAGACCAGAGAGTGACCCAGAGAAATACACTAACTTTACAAATGTAAAATGCTGCTGCTGTCCAATGTTTGAATGAGTGTGTATTAGGGCTGTCCCGAATACAATTTTTCGGGCTCCGGATATTCGGTAGTAATCAGCAGCGAACCGCTTCAACATGTGTATTTCGGTTTATTCATGGCATTCATTTTGTTATTCTACACAGTATTGTTGTTTTATAATTATTTGTTAATGTATATAACCCAATTTGTGTTCTTTGAAATTGAAAAGGATATTGCATTGTGTTTGTTACTTTCGTTGCAGTTGTATATGTGTAATTTGGCTTGGCTTCCTATTTTGTATGGACATGCTTTTATTTTGAAGGAGAGTTAGCGCTGTTGACAGGAAGTTGTTGTTGCTATGGAAACAACGTGACGGAGATTAACGGAGAAAAGTCATATCTACATACATATAAAGACGGAGAAAGTAAACGATAACGTTTATGGTTAAGTGTTAGCACCCCCCGAAGAGGCACAAGCTCTTACGTTACATTGGAGATTTCAAAAAAGAAAAAAAAGGAAATACGAATATCCGAATAACGAAATGGAAACCCGAATAGTACTCCAACGAACGAATATTCGGGTACAGCCCTACTGTCAACAGCGCTAACTCTCCTTCAAAATAAAAGCATGTCCATAAAAAATATGGACTTTGAATAAGCATCTTTATTTGTAATACACACTGTGTAATACAAATAAAGATGCTTATTCAAAGTCTTGATTTAAGTCAGTCACTCCTGTCTGAAACATCAGATGAGCTCACACTGGGACTTACTGTCATATACTGTCTTCACTGCTTGATCTTAAACATGTGCTTACGTCAAAATATCCACTGCATCCTGCTGTTATGTGCTACATATTTGAATGAGATTGCCCATGCTACTCGTACTCTTTGTCTACACGTGCAGAGATACTGTATGTAAAGTTGCAGCATTTATATAGTGCTTTCTCTAGTCTATGCTAGCATTTTACAACACTAGTCAACATCCACCCATAATCACACAAATACGCATACACTAATAGCTGAGTTTTCCATGCAAGGGGCCAATGAGCGGCTGAGACTGTGACGGGACGGCTGCTTTTCCTCCATGCCACCTCATATGTGAAGCCTGCTCTGCATCATGGAGAATCAAACAACATGCTTTTGTGACGTCAATAGATACAGTACGTGGAACATCT